AACCATGCGCCACACCCTTGACCAATCCTCAGTTTATCGGTCATAACACGTACAGTAATTGCAGCAGGGATGTCAGTCTCGCGGGAAACCGACAAAGGTCCAGGCTCTGTGATCAGATATTCAGTGCCTGACTTCATCCACCCGTTTTTCTTGTGCAGGATGAATATTATGGGATCATCCACGACAACAATTTTTTTCCTTTCTTCCTTGTACGGGCTCCTGAACCAAATCTTCATCGTGTGTTTCGAGAGCACCTTCACCACAACTATGTGTCTGGCGCAGGTCAAATTTGAGCGGGCACTTTCCTCTTATGACTGTCTGATTGAAAACTCCGAAAAACCTCCGATTTTCACCACTCAGGCTTCTTTTCAATTTCTCGAGAACTTCTTCTGGGGCTAGGTTCGCCAAATTTCACAGACACACAGCTTAAGGTACTAGCTTCCAAATGGTATAGTTGCCCGCTGCTCTATCCCCTTTGCTTTTCTGCCATTTCTCTATATGTAGCGGCACGTTTGAATGGGATGACCTAATAGAATTTTCAAGTTGCACTTTACCCTGAACGAGGGTCGGAACCGTTGATGATTACGCTGATGTGGAGGTTTGTGGAGCTAAGAAAAGAGATCGTCCTGTGTTCAGATGTTACGAAGTCGAGGATTGGTGCACCTGAGTATGCGGAGAGTTTTGCGGGTGCCGCCGTTCAGTGATTGTAACTGTTCTGGTGTTTTGGGTGTATTTCGCGAGCGCAATAGTTAGGTGAGACCCCATTGTGAACCATTACCTCATAGAATGTGCCCTTAAATGCCGTGTATCCAGGACATACACACTATGGGGCACACAGGAACAAAAGGTCTGAAAAATGCAGAGTAATCGTCAAGAGGATCCGATCCACAAACCCATCGATTGAGGGTCCATAGCGTTATCCACCACACCACCGGCCACTGCAAGCGATGAGATGCAGGATCTGTTGAAGACCTATGCGCAGATGACTATGAAACCTCTATGTAGCTCACCACAATTAAGTGAATTACTTGAAGTTTGACCTTTGCGTTGTTTTTCATGCCTGCTCAAAGATCACATATGGTGCTCATCATTGCAGACAGGTGGGGCGGGTGAGCCGCGCCGCGTGTGACTCGGCTGTGACGCGGCTGTCATCGCAGCCGAGTCACACGCAGCGCGGCTCACCCGCCCCACCGGTCTGCAATGATGAGAACTGTACTATACGCGTCAACGCTACAGCTAGGATGGAGGCGAACAAGGTGGCTTGAATTCTCCCTTCTTCTCGAATTATATTTGACCTTTTTTGACATTCCCAATAGCGTTTAGCAAAAATGAACCCATCTATGCGCTCCTTGCATGGACCCCTACATCATGCAACAAACCTTTTTTCGAAAGCTCACCAAGATCTGAACAACCTCCCCTGTAAGTTCCTTCGACCTAAGTTATTACGAAAGTTCCTTTGACCTACGCTATAATGCTCAGTGCTCTCCATTCTTCCTTCCCGCTCCTTTCGCCTTGTTTGTTATTGGAAACTCCGTTTCCCATAAGCCGCTGACCCGTTCCTTGATCTTGTTCTCCATGATCATTCTGTCACGCAGCCTTATCTTCAGCGCTTTTCCATCAGTCGTTCCCATCAGCTTCATTCCTCTTCTAACGACTTTTTTGGCACAACAATATTCGCGATCCGTCTCGAGATAGCGACAAGCCTCGAATGCCATCTGTTTTCGTCATTTCTTCATTCGTATTTCGGTTATCAGTACATTCCATCACAACACCGTTTGACCTTATGTTAGACTTTGCCGTCACCCCCCCCCCTATGGGAAGCCCCCGCTCTTATACCAGCGTCGATGTTCACTTCCAACTTTCGTACTATCCCTCGTTGCTACGTCCTTCGTGTTGTCCTCCTGCGCTCCGTCATGGGTCCATCTGCGATGCGTTCACGTACACACGCAAACGAATTCGAGCTCCGTCTGTCACCTTGCGCGAGAACAAGCCTGCTTCGGAAGAGTCAGATGCCAAGGACACAGCCCTGGTCGAGCGTATGCGCAACTTCTCTTGGTCCTTCTTCTCCTTTAACTAGAGATTTTATTGTTGTTGCCTATTTACATGCTTTTATGCTACGGCTTGTGCGCAGCTCTTCCTGCCACCGCGTGGCTTTGTCCAGAAGACTCAGCCGACGCGCGCGCAGTCTATTTATGTCTGCCGCCCCAACACTCAGCGGTAGGACACTTTGGCTTTCTGATGCAAATAGTTACTCAATCGGTGTCTTACTCCGTTAACTTTTTTTGGAGCACGTTATGGAAATCGCACTGAGTAGCAGTCATGATTTCTTTAGAAGCCTGCAAGCTTATAGTCCAGCATTATAAATGCGAGTTCGGTGATCTGAGTCAGTACAAAGAATTTTGGTCACAGCCGATTCTATTACCACTGATTAGCATTCGACCACCTTTGCTTGTTGCACACAAAGTATCTTTGTTTCCGACTGTTTTTGATTCATGCAGTGGCCCATATGCGACATGGCGCCTCATTTGCAGATTCTCCAGTTGGAAACCTCGCTGAGTGTGCCTATGAATCAGGCAGCTGTGTGCTCAAAGCTGGATCAATCCTTCTGTGGACCCTCAATAAGGAAGAGTCTTGCCGCTTTACGCCTGTCATGAAAATGAAAGGCCGCCAACTTTGCGAGTTTGGATCAGCGATTCTGAAAATTTGTGCTCCTGCGCGACTGGAGCGACCACATCCAGGAATGCGGAGCACACCTGATTCTTTCTGCCTGGGGTTATGCGGTTACACCGGCCACGCTGGTACAACTACACTCCTCTTCATCACGGACTGTCGGGGCGTATCGGCCAGAAGGAGTGCGCACACTGTTTGAAGCCGTTCTTTGAAGCGCGTATGCGACAAAAATTGGTAGAAAACGAGTAATACGAAGGATATAATGCTGTTATGTCATTTGATCGCTTCAAACAACTGGTGCAGAAAGAACTTTGGGACCGCGGAAAACGCAGCCGCACTGACCCGCCCCGACAGTCCGTAATGATGAGGAGTATATTTCCGGCCAGCTCTCAGCGCAACTCCTCGCATTGGAAGGCTCCGTTGCAACTTTAACAAAGTAACATACTGAGATCGAGAACCGTTCACGCAATCATCAAACATCATCACTCTAGCTCCTAAGTTTTTTCCCTTCGACAAAAATCATGTCAGTCACTGATGACTGCTAAAAACAATAGGAACAATGACTGGCAAGAACATAATACGTCGAATCATAGCATATTTATTCAATAAGACATTCTTTTAACTCTGCTGTACTTATCAATATTTCGATTGCGGCCCTAAAGAGGGCATAAGATGACCAATGACAACCCTGATACTAATAGCTAGAGGCAAAAACTATACCCAGTATCAATAACATAACATCCTATACCAACAGTAACACTGACAAGGGAAGGATACCAACTCGTCATGGCCATTCAGAATGAGATGTATACTCTAAGAAGCGTCTTCGGACGCCGAGATCAGATCTGACTTCCAAATCTTCTAAACTATTCTGGGTGAGAAGTTACGGACCTTATTTGCTATCGTGCTTAACCATTGCGGTGGGCCAACTGCCCATGCTTTACGCTTGTGAACCCCTCGTGTGTCGTCGTGACCGTGGCTCAATGGCGCACCAGGTAAGTGGATGGACTCATAGTAGTGGGCCGAGGTTCGGGTCCTTGAGGCATTTCCTATTGCTTTTTCTTCAAACGCATGCTAAACACTTGGGAAGTAGTTTTACGTACCTGTTAGACCACCAAGACACCTCCCTGGCGCTTAAGGCCCTATGTGTGATTTTTGAGAGGAGTTTCATTTTGACTTCAGTGAAAGCATTCATTTTGATAGTATCTCAACTCAACTTCCGCAAGTGGTATTCGGTAGCAATGAAGCGGAACCTGCTCTTCATGCATGGAACTGAGCGGCTTTTCTTTGCACTAGAACGGTAGAAGGCCATGGCTTCACTCACCTAAACCACACACATATTACGCTATGGAGTTGTACAAAGTGAAGTCTATAAGTGAAACGATGAGACTATCAAACTACTTTCCATCAAATTTTTTGCTTCATGCTGCAACAAGTAGCTCCGACCACTATTAGCGTCCCCGCCGCTCGCCTCACGGAAGCTTCACTGACTTTTGAAAATAATCCGGCGGGCTACGATTGTTCATTTTCAGAGAAGACATGTAGGTAAAGCGGAATAAAGCGTGCCTTGCAAAAAAGTCGACAAGTTGCTGCGACGAACATTCGGTCGTTCTGCGATGCTGCAGGGTGCAAGATGCATATACCTGGTTCACCGAGTTAGTCACTGTCTTGTAATAAGAAAGCATCAAAATTGTTCAGAGTCCGCTTTATCTCGTTCGTCTGAGTGGCGAAACTGGTACACTCTTTGCGAGTGCGGATCTGACTGCCATGTGCACGCAGGCGTTTCACGGATGATTGATCATGTGAACTGTCTTTAGGATATGGCAATTCCAAAGTAGAGCGTCGGATACCCAAGGAATAAAAGCAAACACGCAAATTGTGTGAATGGCGGCTTACCATGTAATTTATATGAGTCAATGAAAAGCGCGTTTCTGACGTAGTTTCATTTTACGAAGAAAACTGGAATGGAAAGAATGAAGGACTTTTGTTGAAAGTTCTTCATTTGACTTCGCTCTTATTGCCATTACCCTTCTTGATGAGGCTCATGCAGACATTTCTAAACTCAGCAACAGGATTATACTTAGCGTGACGGAAACGTGGAGGCTGCTCACTGTCCAGGCTAAGGGATGAAACCATCTGTCCCATCTACTCTAAATTCTTCTCTCGCCAAGATTAACGCAAAACTTCTCGAAATTGTTCGCAAAAATTGTTTTCCGATGAGTTGTCATCTCCAGTCGTCAATCGTAAACCAATATCCGAGTCTAACAACACTTTATTCGGATCGTTTCATTCATTAAACATGTCATCTGTTGAGAGTAGTATCATATATTTCAGCCAAAGCGAATGAATTCGTTCTTGCGCTTTGCAGCTGAAAGTTTTCTTTATCAAAGAATTTGCTAAGTGATTCCAATATGTGAACTTACCATGTGGCTCATTTGCGGTTGAATCAGATCGTCCAAACCTGGAAACAAATTCATATTCACAGTTACAGGGCCAATTATGGGGAGCGTCTCCTCAAAGAAATTAATTTTTTCTTTTGTCAAATTGCAGAAGGTGAATTTTGCTATTTTAATAGCTGGTATGTGAACTGAGTCTAGAGATGTATGGCAGCCAGAAACAGCTGTTGTTGAGATGTTGTCTAGGCATCCACATTGTGGAGCTCGCAGACGAGAAGATTGTTTCCTGGATAGCTGTCTTGACACTCTGCAGTAGTGCATCAAATTGAACGAGTTATAGTTTACCAGCTTGGCTGGCGCACCTACTGCGCGCCTGACGCGATAAAGCAATGCGATTGACATCTTCATTCTGCTGTAGACGTTTAACGTGAGCAGCTTTCCCTCCCCCCATCTCTCCCGCTCGACGTGCAGTAACAATATGTTTACCACACACTAAACCCGCAGTACCTAAAACCAAGAAGTATATTGGGAAAATTGGATTGAACATAAACTCTCGAGCTATGATCTATTCTTATCAGCTGATATAATCCTTTGTCATCCGTCACATTGCCATATCTTATGATTTAGTAGCATGAAAGAGGTACAATTTCGGAGATTCACAGCGCAACGCCCCTTACCAACTCCTATAATAATTATTCTTCTCTGCCACCTATCAGTAATAACCACGTCATATCCCCTACATCATTTATTATACCAACCCAAACTCACAAAGTCCCTAATGAGGTGACGGGCCCTGCAAATTAAACGATGCTTCAGTTTCAAGTCCCCATATAAGATCTCAACAATTTTTAACGTGTCCTGCCACCCATAAATGATGTTCGTGTCCCATTACATCATATCTTGGAATGAAAGTTCCATCGCTGCTGTCAGCTAGTTACGAACACCTCCTGCCAGCAACCAATGATGTTCATGTCCGGCCCTCTATATCACTTCTCGAAACCCATGTTCTACCATTGCTGTGACACGAGCTATGAATTGCTGTTGTGACTTCTTACCACCACTACCAACAGTGTTTCTGCCTGACTTTTTACATAAGCTCGTTTTGAACTCTCTACGACCAGTTTAAAGGAAGCTGTGAATTCCCAGTCAAACACTTATTCACACATACAAATACTCACACGCTTCAACAGACAAACTTAGCTAATTACATATAGTGGAATAAAATCGCAACCAGTCAGGGGCGGCCAGTGCAGCGCGATATGAGCCTACCTTCGGCTGCCCTGCACTAGCGATTGACTTGGGAAGGAAATAGCCAGGGAGCCTGCTGGGAAAGCCGCAGAAATCGACTGACTGCCACTCGACTGGTTGCGGTGAGATAAGCTGTAGGTCCTAGTATGAGTGTCGCGCAGGCCATGCCGTTTGTAAAGTATCTTCCACAGTTCTATCCGCAACGTAGGTGTATTGAACTACACCGAAGGTGTAAACACTGTGAAATGACAGCGCAGAGGCTTCCCGCAGATTTGAAGCAAAATAGTAAAACCGTCACAACGGACAACTGAAATGTCCCTTCCCTACCGTGCACCGCGTTTTCCAAAACGAATAAACTCGTTTTTTCTTTTATGAACCACCGGCTCTTCATGTTCGTCCAGTACAGCATCTAAAATCAAATTGCCTGCAATTTCATACCATTACTAACTAATAGTTTCAAGTGTGATAAAAAACCTGGTTGTTGGACGGCTTCCTCAGTGACAGGATCCAACATGCCGATACTCCTCTGAAAACATTTGAAGCTATCGGCGACGAACGATGGCATCAAGAAATCATCACTGTCAATTAGCAATGTGCGAAGACCCGTTTCAATACATAATTGAGAAGACAGATCGAGGAAAGACTCCCTGCTTAGCTCACTTAGTACGCCAAATATGATAACATAAGAGGAAAACTCATGAATGGCAGATACCAGCACTCCACGATCTTATCTATATATCTTATATTCGCGGTTTCACCGCTGTAGATGCCCTTACAGAGAATTAGTTGACTAAATGTACTGATTTGAGGCAATGAATACGCAGATAAACGGCAGGACTACTCCAAAATAATCATGCAAAGCTGCTTAGAGGCAATTTTTTTGTGCTTGATAATGTGATTAATCAGAATTCTATTCTGAATAAAGTAGTAGTCTATGGCTCACAAGAAATTCATTTTGATTAAAATGAGCTTTAAAAGTTCCATGCCATCCTCAAAGGTTTTAATTTCAAAGTGAACTGAAATTAATTTGAAGGGGGGCTTCCTAGAAGTGGTTCAGTTGCTGCACGAGCCCTTAGAAGAAACCTGAAGGAACTCGTTATTCTCCACTGTGCTCATCAGTAGGGGAAGGAGCGAATATCTGATGTGAAATAGTTGATTTCATCATTAATATTTCTAGTTTTGCTATTATACCACGTTTATACTACATAGGTGTACACGGGTGTTTACAAATATTTTACAGTATATACCACGTACAAATGTATTACACACGTTTCCATAACACATTCTAAGTTCATCCACATTATACAAGTATTTATAAAACATTTCTCGATAAAAAAGGCCATGAAAACAATATACCTCAGCTAGAAGCCTACTTTCGCGATGTCCAAGTTCTCGTGATTGCTCTGGGAATACGGTGAGATCATAGTTATGGCCAGTGCTAGAAGCAGCAAAAGTAGCTATCACCAGGAGGAGAAGCATTTTGAATGACGCTTCCTCTCTTTACTGGCCTTAAGTACCACCTTTCCGACCCGCCCCTCCCCCCCCCCCCTCTACCACGATAGCCAATGGTGGCATAGTCTCCGCATTCTGAGATCTGAGAAGACACAGCCGCCATGCTTCATTTATGTCGGCAGTTAGCAGCCTTATCACACCCCATCATCTTATGTTCATGCGTAGAAAACGAAAAGGCATGCAGAGACTAAACAGTAGCGAAAAAATTTCGGAATGAACCAAAGCTGTGCGCTTTTCAATGATTAGATCTGTCAGACTCTTCAAAATTACATGCAAAACTTTCGTTAGCTCAGACTAGGAATACCCTAAAAACTACTCCGAAAAATTGAATTGGTTGATCAAAGTTGTTGTTGGGAAAGAATAATGAAGAATATTGCGGGGCCGCTATCACATTAGCCAATTTTCAAAGTTTGTCAATTTTTAAGAGGAACATAGGACTGTGGAGCGTGATGGAAAAAGTGGAAGTAAAGCGAGATGAACAACCAGACAAGACTGATCCATTGTTCAGTGAGCCGAGCAGGACCACACATGACCGCCGACTATATCGCCGTGTGCGCCAGGAAACACTCAGCATTATCCAGGTGGCAGAAAGATGCAGAAATCCACTGCATAGGAAAACTCGATATGCGAGGCTTCCCCATCGACGAATCATTTTTTGACACATTGAACGCCGCGGCCTTTTTGCGGCTACTCCCGTTTACACTTTCTGCGTCTCCCCGCGCTTGAATTGCGTGCAACACACAAACGCGCGAAGCGGGAGTTTTTGTGCCGGATGCCTCTTTACACGCTCATTCTGGTTACCTTTCATTTCTACATTGTTCGGTATGTATGATGACTTCTTCTAGTTGCATAGGTTGATCTGGAAAAGATCTAAACGTCAGTTTTGACAACATAAGTATTGTTATCATAATGAATTAAACACTATCAAATGTCAAAATACTGGAGGTCAGAGTCCAGAAGGCACCACTGAAGATTCAGGATTCCGGTGGAGGTGGCTAACTGTAGTATTTCAGGTCGCTGAAGAAGGTGCTAGGCACCGAAATATTCGAAGAAGAAAGATTATAAACAATATAAAAAATTTTTGTGAAAACTTTTGGATTCTTTTGAATCTTTTGAGTCTTTCGCAATAAATTTTGGGCGCCTCTTTTATGTGTTCAACTATCAAATGTATTACTAACTGACACTATTTATCATTAGTAGTATTACTACCATTGTACTGATGCGGAGCTATCATAAGAATTGAAACAACACTCAGTTTCTGACTGTTGTTTTGTAATATTAATGAATTACTTTAACGAGCAGCTTATTTTACGCCATCAAGAACAAAGCATAAGCAAAGCTCACTGAACATATACTCGGTGAGAATGGTTCAAGACGCACTTTCATCCACGAATACTGACTCTCAAATCGTGAATTGTGGGCAGTACACAAACGTGAGAAACGGGATTATGCGCGTATATTGCCTACAATTCATGCGGCGTTCAATGTGTTAAGGTACTAAACCGCGCCACAAACATTTAGAGTCGTACTGGCTTGTGACCAAGAACTGGCGTATGCAGTGAGCAGTATTCATGAGGAGGGGGGGGGAGGGTGAGGGAGGGTGACAAGTGATCAAGTCAATGTAAAGTGAGCTAAAAGTGTAAAACTGTGACTGTAAAAGTCAAAAATGAGAAACAGCGGGAAGGTATAGTATAGTTCTCTGCGGACGGTTGGGCGTGTTGTGCGGCTGCGTTTGGCGCCGTGCCAAACCCATTCCCCACCAGTTTTTTGAGCGTGCAAATGATATGACTGTATCATGTCGATCGTATTACTCGTTTTCTACCACTTTTTGTCGCATACGCGCTGAAACAAGAAGGCAGAGAACGGTTTTAACGCTGTGCACACTCATACTAGCTGATACGCCCAACCGTCCGCAGCGAAGTAGAGTGTAACCATACTGTCTACTACAACGGATATAACATATTGGGAACAATTGTCACTTTTCATTTGAAAATCTTTGTTAGAAAAAAAAGTCATTACTCATGGTCCAGCCCAATAATTTGCCTTTGGAAGATCACAAGATGTGTGGGTGTCCTAAAAACGGATATTTCTGGAAATTTTAACAGGGTATCGATACGAACATTTATCGTCATTCAGTATGGAACTGGGGAATTCTTGATCTTCACATATCAAATCCTACCACTAGATGAATTTGATTCGATTAATCTCGTATCGCTGAGCAGGCAGTGAGAGGTCAGCAGTCAGCGCAGCAATTAAGTGAGGTCATGCCGCAGGCAGGCCTTGGGATATGCGCTAGGTGGTGGTTGCAGTATCTTACCGTATGCCACCCCAACTAACGTCCGCCACCCGGACTGTTGAAATGGAAGTGAAAAATCGTCGCAAATGGGAGTCCGATTTGGGTCTCATAAGGGGGAACGGCTCCTGGGAAATGGCACACACCTGAGTGATCGGATGGCCTAGGCGATAGTGCGGAGCGTTCTCAATCTGATAGTGAAGGTGGGGTTAATGGTTCGGTCCCGTTTGGTTGCGAGTTTTTGCATTTTTTACTGTTCTCGCTTCCATATATGTCTGTGCGTGAGTATGACATGGATATTTGCTATTTATGTGTACATTCTCAATGGTTAGACCCCACTAGTCGGTGATATTCAACCATTTGCATTTTCACATACTATCAAGCAAGAATGATGCTGAACGTTGATCTTCATAGGGTGATCAGTGATCTGATCACGAAAATGGCCCTTACTTCTAGCTGTGGTGCCATTTATCGCCAACTCAAAGTCACATTTCCTTCCACTAAACTGGTCATGTACACTCGTATAGGGGATGTTCAGTTCTATTCTGGTGCCAGATTGCAGGAATCAGGGACGGTTCAGAATACTTTATCCAGCGACTACCCAAACGTATCATGAAAAGAGTTCGTTCACAGCAAATTGTTCTTACAGTTGGCCGGAGGTCCATTGCGTGATCGTACGCCATGGCTGGTGCGAAGATGTGAGACCCTGCTCACACTGCCGACCAAATGGTCATTTACACAAAGAGGCAGAAAAGAGGACGTCAGGGCGCTCACACAGACGGCTCCAATCGAGCTGAAGGCATGCGAGCAGCGACTGCGTTGGTACAGACACATACTGAAAGGGTCTGAAGACATCCGACGTTGGACTTCGGAGTGCAGGACAAGTGACCACGAGAAGCTCCGATCAGAAGATGGAGGGGCGTCATCAGAGAAGAACCTTACTGAAGTGTGCGACTGCAGGAGATGCAGTGGATTGGAACAAGTGGCGGCGTCTAACGGACCAACGCCAGGGGGGGGGGGGTAAAGATGCGAATCGGGAGGCTAGATTCGCATCTGGCATATTAGGGTCTCGCTCGTCACTCGGAGAAACTTGCCTCACTTTTTGTTCCGAGTGACGAGCAAGACCCAAACATGCCAGTTGAGACTCTAGCCTGGCGATTTGCATCTTTTTCAAAAAGTGGGCGGGGTTTCGACAAAGCGGTGAATCTTCCCAATAGAGCGACCCAAAGCAGTCTAGAAATGTGTAAATGAAAAAGGGATTCAATTTTTGAAAAAAAACGCAAAAGTGGAGCACTTAACGAGAGAGGCCTAGTGTGCCTATGTATTAGGTCATCCCGTTCAAAAATGTGAAAGATTTTATTCATATAAAACGAAGAGGAAAACACATAAAAAACTGACATTTTGGCTTTGAGTTGAGTGGGTCCCTTTTTCATCAATAACCCGCTCCCATTGTCCCGGGAACGTTTGGACCACCGGTACCTTCGCTTTTCCAACAAGTGCGAGTAAATTGATGTTGATGACAATTTCGGCGATTGAGAAAACGTTGTAGTGTTTGCAGTCGGACAGTAACTTCAACTGACCAGAACAGTTCGAATCGAACGGCTCTGTGTTGGGCGAATGAGACGATTGAACCCATCTCTCTGCTTTGTTTGTGTCCCAGCACTGCCGTACAATACAGTCACGCGGGGTCTAGCACTCTGACAAGTAACGATGGCTTTCTTGTGGTTGTGGGGTACCATCCATTTCTCGATCTGGTAGACGAGGAATAGGCAATATACATTGACAGCGACGATTTTGTTCTCTGTATAGAGCCGCTTGAAAGCCACAGTGCTAAAATCCTTCGCTACAACGATCATCCACTTGGGCCCACGTAACTCCTCATGGCAGAATTCGGGCGACATCTCATCCGCATTTATACAAAACTGACGTTTGTTAGTTCCGGCTCAGAGTTTGAGACCACCCATACTTCGTTTTGGGCCAAGGTTCGATTTGACAACATTTTTCGTTCTTTCGTCTTTGAACGTTCGAACCAAACCTTCCACATATTTGTCCAGAACATCGTTATACGCAACTACTGGTGCGGCTTGAGAGAAATTTGAGTACCGCACTTTCCTGTTATGACACCCTCTTCCATAATGCGGAGCTACTTTTGACCACTGTGATCCCTTTTCAGTTCCTCAGGAGTTTCTTCTGAGGCTAGGTCAGCTAAATTTTAGGGATACCGGTATGAAGCTACCAGCTTTCAAACGATGTGGTAGCCCATAGCCCCAGTTCCTTTGCTTTTTTGCCATACAAGGATTATGGTAACTAGGACACGACACGACAAGCTATTGCACCAAGGCGATTGCATCACAGCTGCGATTAAGCAGCATCCAAAAGCATCTCGCCTTTCAAAGTGAACTGTGACTTACTGATTTTGAAAAGGTATCCACGGAAAGCAGAACATCTGTGAGCTCACAAGAAAGTCGGCAAGTTTTCTATCCGACAAGCACCTGAAATCGTCCTACGACAAGGCACGCAACGGGGTGTTGACGTAATTTGTGTAGCTTGTTGTTTTGCAGACTGAAACGAATAAAGTTCACAAGATTCACGTGTTTGTTACCGCTTGATCTCGCCTTTTCGTGTGACAAAAAAGGTACGCTCCATGCGGGTGGATGTGAAATGCATATCGCCT